TTTTGAGAAATGCATACACCCACGTCCCCCAAAGTCCAGCCGTGACGTAGAGCACGTCCATCACCGCAGAAAGCTCTCCTTTGCCCTCCCAGCCAGTCTCACCCAGGGGTAGTCACTGCTCTAAGCTTCTCCATCATACGTTGGTTTAGCCTGTCGTATAAATGGCATCTCACAGGGTGCACTCTTTTCTGCCAGGATCCTTTTACTCAGCATACGATTTTTTAATGTATCCCTTCATGTTTTTCATTGCATCGATAGCTCACTTCATTTTGTTATTGAGGTATCATGGACATCTAACATTATATTAGTTTCAGGTGTACAAGATCATGACTTGATATTTGTATATACTGGGAAATGATCCCCGCAACCAGTCCCCATACATAATTGCAAACATTTTTCTTTCCTGTGGTGAGGACTTTTAAGATCTACTCTCTCAAATATGCTCAGTTCTTTTTTAACAGCGTACGTATATGATGGATTGCTTAATTATTCTCTTCTTGGAGGGCTGCTTCTAGTTTGGGGCTATTGGTGTGTATTGATTTTATAACACAAGCAAAATGAAAAGAGGCCGACAGTGGAGACAGGAAAATGAAGAGAATGAAGACAGCTCGGGACTCCTCCGGGACCTCAAAGGCACCAGCTCACATGCTGGCAGCCCCTCTCTGCCGTCAGTCACTGGTAGCCCTTACCCAGCTGGAGCAATTCACTGCCTCCCCCCATGCCCATCCTCTTTGGGAACACGCAGTTGAGTCAGATGGGGCCCTCACCTCCTTCCCATTTCTACTCTGCCCATCCCTCCCTAGGTCCTTTGCCTCTTCCAAGTTCACTGGGCCCCTGCTGGCTTTATCCCCCAGCTGACGCTGATCTCCTCCTAACTTTCCCCGTGGGGGCCGGCTTCTTACCTCCCCAGCTAGTCCCAGTGCTCTAAGGGCAGATGCCTGGGTCTTCAGTTTTCTGTCATTCCACACAGCACCTAACTGCCCCCCTAACTCCACACACTGTATGTTTAAGTGAGCATCTGCTGGTGATGCTGAGAGAGAGAGAGAGAGAGAGAGAGAGAGTGTGTGTGTGTGTGTGTGTGTGTGTTATGTGTAAGGCAGTGAGGCTGGATGGCAAAGAGCACAACTGGAGAGCTGGGTGGGGAGACTGACCACGGTGAAGGTTGGCTTTAAGCCTGATCTTTTTAAGCAAGAAAGTCAGAGGGCACCAAAATTACCTTTTCCCCCCCAGTGGAGGCAAACATGCATATGGTAAAAGCACAGATCTCAAGTGGACTGTTGGATGAGTTTTGACAAATGCGTGTACCCAGGTAACCCACACCCCAACGAGAATATAAAACATTTTCGTTACCCCAGTAAGTTTCCCTGAGGGCAGCAAATCTTAACCCTCCCGAACAACTGGTTTCTTGGGGGCTTGCTAAGCCAGACAACCTTAGGGTTAGCTAAGATGCTAACCTCTGGAAAAGACTTGGAGCTCCAGCTACACAGTGTGGACCCAAACTGGCGTCTCCCTGCTCTGCCTCAGAGATGCAAAGCCCAGGAAGTGCAAAGGCAGGGAGTCCCCATGGCAATGCCCTTCTGAGAGCAGGCAACACACTCGGATTGCTCAGCTCTGACATTTAACATTGTTTTTATCTCTTGCCTTCAAAACTACGAATTTTCATTCCCCAATTCCCTCTTGGCAGTTGTTGGAGAGGAAACAGGAGGCTGGCTTGTTCCCAAGTCAACAGGAAGTTAGGCTCCGTGGATGTGTGGTTTTTAGTAGGGACGCACACAGAGACCATGACACCCCTAGTTTCCCGTGTGCACGTGGCTCATAAAACAGCTCCCTGAACCCTACACCGTTTGTTTGAGGACCTAAAAAACCCCCAGCCTCAAAGACTCTGACTCTCCCCACATTACAGTTTAAAATCTCTGTATGTTTTGAGGTCAGCTCCACCCAACCAGCAAATTCTTTTCAGAAAAACAAGAAGCCCCTGGATTTTCTCTAACTTGGTTTATAACTTGGAACACATGTGGTGCGTCCTTTGCATTTTCTGACTCGGGTAGTTTGAATACTTGCTTGGGCTTTGGTTCCAAATGGATGTGTCCAGCCGTGACTTTAGGTTGTATAACATCACAGGGCGGGGATCTCTCTCCTTGAACAATTAAATGACATCAGAAAGTAAACAAGCCGACAGAAAAGCAGCACGTTAAAGGCAGCTGGTGCCCAAGTCCCTTCCGTTCCAGAGCACACACACAAACACAGGATTGCACTGAATTGTAGTGGCTACTCCTCGAGGTGGCTTGTTCTCCCTGTAAACGTGAGACAGCTGAGGTTCAGGGCAGTGAAGCTCTTAACCAAGGTAAGATTCTGCTCACCAGCGCGCGGGTGTGGGTTCCCCCGACACATGCAAGCAATTCTGTGACCCCAGCTGAGTGTCCTGCACTTTAACCTGCCGCTACCTACCTGGAAGCCGCAGCAGCTCCCACAGGTTAGGCCTCAGCTCTGCAAGGCTGTACCCGCCTCCCCCTACTTGAGATGCCAGCTGTAAGTCCAGGTTGTCACCTGTGTTTTTGACGACTGGGTTACAGTTAGGGAGGTTCCAAGAAGGAACCTTCTTCTTAGGTTCTACTAGTTTGCTAGAGGGCTCACAGAACTTGGAGAAAACCTTTACCTTACTAGATCACCGGTTTATTATAAAAGGATATAACTCAGATGGAAGTGAGGCACAGGGCAAGGTGTGGGGAAAGGGCTGGGGGCTTCCAGGTCCTCTCGGCGGGGGTGGGGGGGCAGGCACTCTCCCTGAATCTCCATGTGTTCACCAACCCAGAAGCTCTCTGAACCCTGTCCTTTTTGGGCATTTACAGAGGCCTCATTATAGAGGCACAACTGATTAAATCAACGGCCACTGGTGACTGACTGAACCTCCAGCCCCTCTCTTCGCCCCAGACTTCAGGGGGTTGCGACTAAAAGTTCCAACCCTCAAATCACAGGGTTGGTTCTCCTGCCAAGCAGTCCTCATCCTTAGGTGCTGACCTAAAGTCACCTCATTAACAGAAAAAAAGATACCTTTGTAGCTCTCCTCAGGAAATTCTGAGGGTTTTAGGAGCCCCGTGCTACAAACGAAGAGTAAATGTATATTTCTTATCATAAATCACAGTATCACACACGGCCACGAAGCTGGTAAGGGGTCAAGCCTGCACTCAGAGTCGGCCTTCAGCCTGTAAATTCTAGACTCTTCCCTGCACCTTGCAGGGCACAGGGAAAAAGCCAGAGTTCTCTTCACCTGCTAAGAACTCTCCAAGGTGGCATCTGGGCCTTTGGCGCCCATCCTTTCTGGAAGAGTCCTGAATGCACAGCAAGAACCACAGGTGCCCGTGCAGCAGAGGCCTGGGGCCGCCCCATCCAGGTCCCGTGCTGCCCCCATCCTCTTGCCACTTTGGTGGAGCCAGCTGACTCCCCAGAGCCGGTACTGGCGTCTGTGCCTGAGGGCTCCTCCCAGAACTGCGGAAGTGCCACCCGCCCCACCAATGTCCCTCCAGCTGCTGCCGCCTGTCTTCCTGTCACACCTCCCCGCTCCCTACTGGGCTCTCCTCCTCCCTCCGCCCCCCCCGAATAAATGCCTCACCCCATCCTTGTCTCAGGATGCAGTGGTCTCTGGGGGATCTAAACTTTGATAGACCGTGGGACTGAATCTGCTTCAGGCCTTGGTGACCCAGGTCAGCCCTTTCCTGGGGGGCCGGTAAAGACCCTGTCTTCCCCCAGGTATCATCTCATTTTCCTGAACCAGCACCTGAAATCTAAAGGGCAAGATTCACCTTCAGGGGATTGGGTGGTGTCATGGTAGCCCCCAGGGTCTTGTTAGAACAGCCTCAAGAAGAACCATTCATTGCCATGTCGCCCAACGATCCCCCAGTAACCCCTCCAGGTCTGTGGGAACAGTTTGTATTTAGACGGGCCCTGGCAGTGCCTGGATTTTGCTGGTGTCCATGGTGTCAATACTCCTGCCAAGGTCAAGTGCAAGGTGCCAACCAAGGGTCGGGTGGGGAAGACCTCTGTAAGTCTCTTCTTCCCCTGGGGGTTGGGGCAGCGTTTTCAGTAAAAGGAAACACTGGTCCGGCAACTGGAGCAGCATCCAGGTACCAGGAGCCTGATTCAGGAATGCTCGCTAAAAAGACGAGAAGGAAGATGCAGAAGCATCGAGTACCGACTGGTGGGTTATGGGAGCGCCGGCTGAGTCGGACACAGTTCTGCTCTCAGAGGCGGAGGGAAGATGACCGCCCACGTGACTGCAGAGGCAGTGGACGTGGCTGGGGCAGCTTCCTGGAGGAGGTGATGGCTGGCAGACAGCCGGCCTTGGAAGAAGGACCTTGGGAAAAGCCTTCCTCCACGTGGCCACTCCTTCTGGAAACATTCTCGGGCCCCACTTCCTCCCGGTTCTCCCCCTTTCTGGCTGACCACTCCTCAGCCTCCTTCACTGGATGGTTTTTTCCTGCCTGACATCAGGATATGGTTCTGGGCTCTCTTCTCTATTTACACTTATTTCTTTTAAGAGCTTTATGCTTGAAGACCCACAATAATGCTCTCGCCTGCCAAACGGAGACCTTGCCTCTGAACTTCAGATGCCTTTATCCCACTGCCTACCTGACATCTCCACCAGGATGACCCTCAGACACATGAAACCTAATCTGTCGTAAATGGAACCCTGGGCGCTGCCTCTTAGATATGCTCCCCTCCACCCCTACCCAGGCTTGTCTTCCCCAGGTCACATATTCTCTCTTTCCTACAAATGCTTCATAACTGGTCTTGGGCCTCTGTCTTGTCTGGCTCCAACCCTTTCCCCACGCAGTAGCTGGAAGCTTCTTCCTAATGGGAAAATCACACCACCCCCTTCCTTGTCTCCATGGCCACGGCTCTCAGCGTCCTTGCCCACGTGGCCTCTCTGGGCTCTAACTGGTTCCTGCCACTCATCCCTCTGCCTCCCCGCCTCCCACCCCCACCCTCTGCCCCCAGGCAGAGGAGCTGTCCTCGGGTCCTTCCGTGCACAGAACCTTCTAGTATCTTGGTCTTTTACTAGCTGTTCCTTCTGTTTAGAAAAAGCCTCTCACTTTTATCTCCTTGGTTTCTGATAATCTCAGATTCTCAGAATAAGTGTCACTTCCTCACATGCATTCCAGGTACCCTGATCCCTGCCACACACAGCCACATGCTGCCATGACTCCCGCATGACCAGCTCTCAGGAGAGCATGCGTCACACTTGGGTTCGGAATTGCCTGTGTGGTCATCTCCTCCCAGAGGCCGGGGCTCCAGGAGCACAGGACGGTGTCTGTCCAGCTCACTGAGGTGTCCCCAGCGATGGCGACCAGCTTGGCACACAGAAAGCAGTCAATTCATGTCTGACCAGAAGAAGGATGAGAACATTTCTGATCACTTCTTTTTACCTCTGTGGATTCTGGAATCAGGGGGGCTCTTGCTTGGAAACAGAAAAAGACAGACACCCTCTACTGCCTCCGTTCATTGCTTCTTAGATTCATTTTACATTTCTAAGCCCCAGCTCAGAAATCAGATTTGCCCTGGCTGCCCGGAGCCTGCCTGGTGACTTTCTTCCTGCGGTTGGAGCAGGCGGAACAGACATTTGTCACCAAAATGGGACAAGAAGTACTCATTTTCCAAACTGACTTTTAGAAATAGTTTTTATTGGGGGCACTTAGGTAGCGAGCTGGCTTCTCAGCAATACACAAGTACTAAGAAATGCCCCAAATCTGTAAAACTGCCTTGGTTCCTTGCTGTCAGATGCCTGAACCTAATCCTTGCACAAAACAGCTGTCTCAGTGGTAATTATCCAAAAATTATGACCTGGAAATCCATCTAGGCAAGATGGGAAAATTGCTTCAGAATTGTAGCAGGTTACCTGCTAGGGTGAGGAGGCCATTAAACCCACACAGGCTGCTGGGTGCCGATGTCAGAGCTACAGAAAGATGTCACGTGGTTACTGAAATGCTAATAGATGGAGGCCCCTGAGTGTCCTTTCGGAAATGACACCCTCTCCCGGGAAAAGCTGGAGGCGGACCTGAGGGAAGACCAAATCGCTCGTGGCCAATAAGCCTCTAAATGCGCTTTTCCATGAACCTGGAGCTATCTTTCCAAGCAACTCCTGCATCTCGGCATGAAGTTACACATTGGTGACCCTACAATGTGCCTGGGCGCGGGGGCTGGCCCCCAAGGGCCTGATGCAAGCGGCGGAGGGACCCAGGGCCTGGACAAATGGATCATCTTCATGGAAGGATCCAGAGCAGTTCCTCCAACACTCAGATAGAAACCGCTGTAGACTCACCGCTTACTGCAGCCTTAGGCAGTGGCGGTTTGAGCTGCACCAACGCCTGTGAAATCTGGGCGTCAGGAGTTCTCTTCCTTCCCGGCTCCTTCTCTCTTTACATGAAGTTGAAGTGCTCACCGAAGCCTTAATAAGCAGACCCTGTCCTCTCTCCCAGCAAAGACTCAAACTCAGAGGCCCCAGCGACGACCCTCACGCTCCTGGGCGCCAGCCGGGAACGGCGGCCTCTGTGCCACGATTTGCTTTGGCCACGGTTCTCCCTGGCCCAGCGTGAAGAGAAGAAACCTCACTGTCCTCTCTCTGCCTCTCTCTGGCTGTGGGATTTAAGCTCTGAGGCCCTGGGTGCCTGACCTGCAGAAGCGGGCCTAGAACAGCACTGCGCTGACAGTGAATCCCTGACCCTGGCCCGCCTCGCCCCGCGCCCTGGCCTTCCTTCTGTTTTCAGACACAGCTGCCCGGGGTACCCTCTTGTTACAAGGCGCCCCCTGCCCCTCAAATCCCCCACTCTTTTTGGCCACTCACTGATCAGCACAGAGCCCACCGCCCTGGGCAGCGGGTCCAGAGTGACGGGCGCCCCTCACTGTCACATGCCCACCTCACTATCTCCACGGGCTTCTCCTCTGAAGTCAGTAGCCCCGTGTTTGTCCCTCATGGAGTCTGTCTCCCTCGACCCGACACACGGTCTAAGGGGGAGGGGCTGCCCTGCCTTGTTCACTCTGTATTCCCAGTTCCTCACCAAGTTCCCGGCACACAGTACATGCACGATACGCACTGATGCTTGTCTCACTTAGCTGTTGTCAGAATTAGATGAGCCCATGTGTGCATGGCCTCCCTGGAGTTGCTGGCGCATAGTAGGGACTCGATGGATGTTAAGCTATTCTCATTGCTGCTCTGTTTGTCCCCTGCACTTTTCTCAGGTCAGCCTGTTCCTCCCTTCTGCTCTGCTCACATGTCTTCCTCCCCAAGTGAGGTGGTGCTGATGGGAAAGTTAGGATCCATCCACCCATCCATCCAACAACTATTTCTTGAGCACATTCTAAGCACCAGGCACTGTGCCAGGCAGAGAGGAAACAATAAATGAGTAAGACGGGCACAGTTCCTGCCCTCGGGGAGATCACTCCTCTGCGGGAGGCTCAGACAAAGGGGCAAAGTCAGCCTTGATGGTACCTGCTGATGAAAAACACAGCAGCGACATCTGACTCAGGTATGGGAGGTCACAGTGGACATCCAAGCTGATACCCGAAGGATGAACTGGAGAGAGAGACAAGGGGAGTCCTTGCTGGTGGTCCTTCCCTGCTCTGTGAGGTGGTCTGGTTCCAGGGGACAATTTTCTTCGATCCCTAACTTACAGGAAAACCAAAAGACATAGCTTGGTTGGGCCAAATTGGGCCACTGTTTTGGTCTACCATTACTAGACAAAGAGGTAGCCTGCACAAGTAAAGTTTCCCAGAAAATTAAAGTCTACCTACATGCCAGCACCTTGACTGCTTCTGATGAAATTATTTCATTCTTAATTTTGTCTGGATGACTGAGAATGACCACCATGAATATCCATTATTTAACTGGACTGAAATACGGCAACACTCTCAGGAGCTACTGATGTACGAGGATTGCTCGCCTCTGCAATTGAGGAAGTAAAATGTATTCTCTATTTAAACAAGTAAAATGTCCTGCCGTGTGGATGGCGAACGCGAAGTGGACAAGGTTTTACACTCAGGCTCCAGCCACGGGGAACCGATCCGGGTAAATAACTGTCAGACAAAGTAGGGAAGAGAGGGGGCCAACAGGGATGCAGGGAAGAGCTTATGTGATGCTCAGCGTGGGCTGTACTTGGGGGCAGTGCCTGGAGGGATGAGAGGAGTCAGGCGTGTGGGCAGGACTTGGGGGGTCTGCTCATAGAGATTTCCACCCTCTTTGAATGCCCTCTCAATCAAAGAGATGAAACTATCTCAGAAAACTAAGTAAAAAGTAGCATTTTAAAGAATGCCACTTGGATCTGAGGGTGGTTTGATTACTCTGCCCCTCCCCTGATTCAGCTCACCTGGCTGCCTCTACCTGCCTCTTGCCCATTTACATTTTAGCTCTGCTTCAGGATGAAAACTTTTCCTGACAGTGAAGGTTATCACTATTTATTAAACATGGATTCTAGAATACAATGCTTTAACTGCAATATAATCATGGGCTTCCTAACAGTTACTAAGTTTTGAATAGTACTGAAAAATAAATTAACTAGGTTTTTTTCCCCAGAGAATTTTAAAAGTTCAAAATGTAATCTCCTTTTCAACAAATGATGCTGAAACCCCTATATATCCACATGCAAAAGAGTGAAGTTGGATCCCTACCTCACACCATATGCAAAATGAAATCTCCTTTGGTTTCCCTGGGGCTCATGAACTGTTTATAGATTATTGAATTTCTACTTTCAGAAGAGAGGCCTACATTGGACGCTGGTATCCCTGGAATAGAATGAAGATCTCTCTGGCACTGGTTACAGAAAGAGAAGCATTTGGATAAATGCTTCTTTCTCTGGGCTTTTCAACCAAATGTTTTCCCCCAAGAGCACTCTCTTGTGTGCCACGGCTGCTTATAAACCAGAAGTGGCCTGCTTCTTCTCCTGCATTTCCCCCTCAACTTCAAAAATAAAGGCAATCTTCAACCACAGAATTTGATGTGCTCCTTGTACAATTCCAGAAGAATGACCAGACTGACTGATGACCCAGTTATGACATCCACAGATGGAAAACATGAATTTGGGCCAGACATCTAATAGGGCCTGAATTTTTGTGTTCATGATATCACCCTGTCACTAGAGTTTGGAACCTGAAAAGGGTGTGTTTTCATGGCTGTGGGTGTTACTGATATGAGAATTATGTTTAATTTTCTGTTCTCTAAAGAGTGTTCGGAGAATGTCAGGAGAGGAAAAGAGGGCATGATTTACGGCAGACGAAGTGTCTCATGGAGTTGGGAGTTCATGTTCAATCAGGAAGATTTCACAGCTGGTAAGAGGCGTTGGTTTACCTCCAGGATGAGCTCTGAGTTTTGTTTTTCAATGGTTTTCATTTCACCTTCCGTGACTGTACCCTGTAATCCCAGTAAAGAAAAAATAAACATAATGGATCTTAGGGACATTGGAAGGATTTGCGTCCCCTGCTCCTGCCTGTTCATCCCTCCTTGGAGAGACTCAAGGTGGTAAAAATCTATTATTCATGGACTGATTTTCCAGGTTATTTAGAGCATAGTTTCTTCTCATCGTTTTGCTGCATGCTTTTTAGCCACTAGAGAAAACAAAAAGTAGTTGAAATTCATGTAGGGCTGAAGTTTACTTCTTCACAACTCTGACAAGAGGAAAGTGGGAAGGTGAAACAAACAGGAATCAACCAGGTGGATTGTTGCTGAACTCAGTGGATCCATACCCAGCACTCTGAGCTGGGTTCAGGGACACAGAAGCCAGGCGGAGTCTGCGGTGCCGATAAAGATGGGATGTAAAGATGGATCAGGAGATGAAATGACAGACAGAACACGCATTTAGAAGAGGCAGAGCCCTTGGAGAGAGGAAAGAGACATCCAAGACCGAGCATGACCATGTAACGACAGAGGGTCACCTGTAGTACGGCCTAGGGAAGTCAGGGTGTGCTCACAGCAGGGCTCTTGCTTGGAGCGGGATACACAGGCTTGAGGCCTGAGCTGAACTGGGTGATAATGGGGAAGGCTGAATGACAGAAACTTTCTCTATCCTTTGCTCAGGCGGCATCATCTTGCCTCAAAAATAAATGTTGAACCAACTTTTTTTTTTTAAATGGCATTTATTTTTTAAATTTTTATTTTATTTATTTATTTATTTATGGCTGCATTGGGTCTTCATTGCTGTGTGCAGGCTTTCTCTAGTTGTGGAGAGCGGGGGCTACTCTTCGTTGCGGTGCACGGGCTTCTCATTGTGGTGGCTTCTCTTGTTCCAGAGCATGGGCTCTAGGCACACGGGCTTCAGTAGTTGTGGCGCATGGGCTCAGTAGTTGTGTCTCGCAGGCTCCAGAGCACAGGCTCAGTAGTTGTGGCGCACGGGCTTAGTTGCTCCGTGGTACGTGGGATCTTCCCAGACCAGGGTTCCAACCCGTGTTCCCTGCACTGGCAGGCGGATTCTTAACCACTGCACCACCATGGAAGTCCCTGAACCAATTTTTTAAAAAAAATATTGGTTTGGAGGGGCACCTTCCATGCCCCCAGGCCTCAGCTTGGACCTGAAGCTTCCCTCTAAGTCATGAAAGACAGCTGTTGGTGAGGCTAGCGCAAGTGCAGCGGACAATTCACTCAAGGCTTCCGTGACATTCAACACCTTTTTCGTGGCTCAGGTATGTACGAGCCCCATCCTGTGTGCTCTGAGGATGCTCATCGTCACCGAGCTTCCCGTGGTGAGAACGTGAAGGGAAAGGCTGTGTTAATAACAAAGGAAAAGAATATGCAGGTGCCATGAAGCTGCCCCTAAACTGCAGGAATGAGATTAGGATAAAATAAAATGAAATGAATATTGTCGTTTTGAAAACTAATGAGGCATGTGTAAAGAGCTCCAAAACATTCGTCTTCTCTACAGCAATTCCAACTCTGGGAAAATAATCAAAAGAAAGAGCCTCAAATGTAAATACAGTTTTGTGGTTAATTTCCGCAGCTCTTTAAACTCTGTAAGACTGATGTACTAAGATGTCTGTGGCATCATTAGTTATCACGTGGAAACCTTGAAGCAGCATCCGTGTCCAACTGCAGCAGGATGATTAAGTAAATTTTGGCACAACGAGGATATTAAACTGCCTAATAATGATGTTTTTAATGAGACTTTTAAGGAAAATATGTTTGCTGTGTGTAAGAAGTATTTTAAAGAGCAATGTGCAAAACTGTATCGCGTGACATCAGCTATGTCAACCAGCCTAGGAAGAGAAAACTATGCAGAAATGTTAACAGTTGATATCTCTGGATTGGACTATATGATTTTTATCTCATCCTCTAAAGCTGCAGTGTCTCATGGGCAGCCACAAGTCATGTAGCTATACAAATTTAAATTCATTAAAATAAAATAAAAATGAAAAAATTCAGGCCTTCACTTGTTCCAGCCACATTTCAAGTGCTTAAATGTCTCATGGGACTAGTGGCTACTATATCCCACAGTATGGCTAGAATATTTTCATCACCGCAGAAAGTTCTATTGGGCAGGTACTGCTCTAGAGTTTTCTCTAATTAGAATTTCTCTAATTCAAGTTTCTCTAATTTTCTATGAAGACCATGAGCTATTTTTATAATCAGAGAAAAGGAAGAAAAAAGTAAAGTTCAGATTCGTGGACCGGAGGAAAAACCCGAGAGATTATCTTAGGAATGGCAAAACAGAATCAAGGTGACTTGTACTGAAAGGAAGCAGCGAGGCTTTAATGAGGGTGTAAACAATGTGGAAAATACTGCTCTCAGATTAGGTACAGAAAAGATGTGTTAACCAGAAGGGAGGTGGTCCACACGGGACCCAGGAAAAGGAGCTCAGAGGCAGGGTTCGTCAGTGCACTCAGCATGGCTGGAGTGGAGGGGGCAGCTCAGGGCGGCAGAGAGACAGGCCCTACGATATGGGTGGACGCTCGGACGGCAGCAGCTCAGCAGCCCCAGCAGAAGGTTATCCAGCAAATCCTTCCTGTTTGGACTCCACCCTCAACCGGACACCCTGGACTGCAGGACTCATCCGTGTATCCACTCCTTCCTGGGTACACAGCTCAACTAATGACCTGGAGCTCCCTTATAGCTAGATGGGAACGTATGACTTATCTGGACAGTGGGTCGGGGCAGCCAGGACATGGACCACTTCCAGGCCTCATCCAAAACCGATCTGCGCCATCCTCCGTGCCCTTGCCCTCTCGGCTTTCTGAGTGGCCGCTGGAGAAGGACTCCAAGATGGTAGAGCCACCTGATGGAATAAACCTCAATCCCTGAGTTTCTGCTTGAAGCGTCCACGGGAGCTGCCAGGATAGAAACAACTGCAGCAGATTTTGAGCAAGAAATAAACCTTCGTTGGGCTACCCCAGAGAGATTCTGTGGTTATTTGTAATAGAGTAGTAGCAATGCTTATTCTGAGAAATAAAATTCTAACTTGACCTTCCGTGGGGAAGGTATCAATGCAACAGGTCTGGTTATTCAGTCCTGCTTGCCTCCAGCGGAGCCTAGAACTCTCAGGCCGATGGGAACGTGGCCCTTGGAATGTTCTTCATGTCACTGACTGATGATGTTGGTGTGTACACTGGAAATGACGGGGCACACTGGACCAGTTTGGCAGGATGTTTGGCAAGCTTTATGATGTGTACCTGGTGTCTGTGCTGGGAATCTGAGTTTTGTGATCACGGCTGTACATGTTGCAGGAGTGTGTCTACCTGACCAGCCCTCCAGAGAGCCTCAGACTCCATCTCCTGCATGTGGCCCTGTAGTGAGGCAGGACTTGGAAGCCTGCACCTGACCTCTCTGGACTTCTCCTGATGCATCTTATTTGCCTGTGGCTTTTACTCTAAACCCTTTGCTCTAATAAACCTTAGCTGTGACTATGACCTGCTGTTGAGTCCCATGAGTACTCCTGGTGAGTCAGTGAACTTGAAGGTGGTCAGGGGCTCCCCAGATACCTCCTCCATAAGATCTTTCTCCAGGAAAACAGAGCGCAAGTCATCGGGAATAAGTATGCTTTCTATCTGGCACTTGGGTATGTTAGTACCATCTGCTGGCATTCTAGCATATACGTCAAACTCTCGTGAATTTGGTTGATGTGAGTCCATTCATCAGATTCTGACTGACAACAATGGCACTCTTAGGAATCTTGGGAAGATTATCTGGAATCCTGTGACCACCCAATGGTTGATGCTCCTTCAGGTGCCAACCTGGATGACATTTCTTCGGTGTCTCTCTTACATGCCACTTAACGTGTGATAAGATGAAGCAAGTTCACAGATTTAGGACGAGCCGTGAGTGAGGCAGAAATAAAGCCTGTGGAGAGAGATCCCATTTGGCGGCAGTGGGGGGTGGTGGGGTCCAGGGAGGAGTCCTGAATGAAGTGCCATTTGCGACAGACCTGGAGGGAGGAACATCATTTCAAGTGGGAAGAGTGACGGGGAGTATGTGCATCTGAGTCAGAGTCTGCAGGAGGAAAGACTCCAGCAGGGGAAGCGCAGGGCACCTTCAGGGGCTGTGAGTCTAAAGGGTGCTAGCACAGCTCTGTGCAATATCTGAGACAGCAGGTGGTCAGGGGGGCATGGTGTTTCGGGAGCACTGATGGGGGACCATTGAAGGGCTGGCCTCTGGTGAGCACCTGTTTACCTTACGGTCAGCCTAGGCTAAGTGGTCCTTCTTCCTGGGCTTAGGGCCCAGGATTAAAACTCACTCCTGGGCATATACCCAGACAAAACTCTGATTCAAAAAGATACATGCACCCCTGCGTTCATGCAGCACTATTTACAATAGACAAAACATGAAAGTAACCCAATGGACATTTGTCCATCGATAGATGAATGGATAAGAAGATGTGGTACATACATACAATGAAATATTACTCAGCCATTAAAAAGAATGAAATAATGCCATTTGCAGCAACATGGATGGACCTGGAGACCATCATAGTAAGTGAAGTAAGTCAGACAGAGAAAGACAAATACCATATGATATCATTTATATGTGGAATCTAAAATACAACACAAATGAACATATCTATGAAACAGAAACAGACTCACAGACATAGAGGACAGACTTGTGGTTGCCAAGGGGGAGGGAGAATGGGGTTGGGATGGAGTGGGAGGTTGGGATTAGCAGATACAAGCTATTATATATAGGATGGATAAACAACAAGGTCCTAATGTATAGCACAGGTAACTATATTCGATATCCTGTGATAAACCATGATGGAAAAGAACATGAAAAAGAATGTATATATATGTACAACCGAATCACTTTGCTGTACACTAGAAACTAACAGAACATTGTAAATCAACTCTACTTCAGTAAAATAAATTTTAAAAAACTTATTAAGGGAAAAAAATGAAAAAAAAATCAACTCACCCACAAAAAACACAGTAACCTCTAATGGAAAATTGGGTAAAGCGCATAAAGAGATAATTATCCTAAAGAAGAACCCAAAAGGCCAATACATGGAAAAAAGAATACACAGTCTCTCTGGTAATCAAAGAAATATCAATTAAAACACAGTTAAAAAAAAACTCATGCTGCTGAATCTCTCATAAAAGTCATCAAAAACATCATTTTGTAAATCCATATATTAGGTCAGTTTGAATGTTGTCATTTTTTATTAACTGTCAAACGAGCACCCACATGATCTGGGCCTGCATGTCCCACAAGTGCATGTCAGGCCACGAGCCCCCAGGCTCACTCTGCTCCACTCACCCTGAACCCCTTCCTTCTCTCCAACAGGCCAAGTGCACTGTTGCCTCAGGGCCTTTGCACGGGCTGTTCCTTCTGCCTGCAATGCTTTTGCTCTGCCCTGCCCCAATTTTCCCATGGTTGTCTCTCTCTAGTTATTCGGACTTCAACTCACAGTCACCTCTTGTAAGGAGCCTTCCGAGACCCCCCGAGGTAATGTAATGCGTCCTCTCTCACCACGTCATCCCGCAATTTCATAGTCAGCAGAGAAGAGATCTCGGCTCCTTAGGATGCGTTCTGCTTCCTTCCAACTTCTTGTGCTTATCTTTACCCTTTGGTGAAACCTCTCTGCCAACAGGTAGCTTCAAATGAACCAAAAACATGTGGCCTTTCTGCATGGGTTTCAATTTCATCACTGGACACACCTTCCCTACCTGAAACAGCCATGAGTGAAGTAACTCGGAGACAACCATCATCTGATAAAATAAGCCACCATATTTTCTTCAGAAAATACACTTACTGAAAACACATTACACAGATAGACTGAAGCAACGCTCAGTAACACATTTAGAGAAGCACCCGACACTGGGTTGGGTGTGAAAACTTCAGAGGCATAAATAATACTGTTTTCTTCCAAATACAGAGAGAAATCTCTAACTGTAGTTTCTCCCTCCAGGGTTTTTACGTTTTTCATTGGTTGAAAAGATTCGAAAGAATCATAATGTTTCATGACGTGTGAAAATTATCTGAAATTCAAATTTCAGTTTCTGTACATAAAGTTGGACTGAAACAGCCACGCTCATCCACTTGCCATCATCCGTGGCTGCCTCAGGCCACCACAACAGAGCTGATGACAACTGTGACAGAGACCGTCCGGGTGGCAAAGCCTAAAATATCTACTATCAGGCCCTCCCCAGAAACCGCCTACCAGCTCTGCTCTCAAGTCCTGAATGTTCCCACATGAGCCTGACCTTGCGAGAACCTGACCAGGAGAATTTGTTTTCCCCTCCACGTGAGTGTTCCCACACCTCCTTTGCCCTGAGACACAGTTACGGTGGCCGAGGCCACGAAAAGCAGAAAAACCACTTACATAGGATCCGTAATCCACAGCCAGGGTCTGCAGGGCCCAGGGGAGCCCGAGGCCAATGAGGATGTCAAAAACATTGCTCCCGATGGAGTTGGACACGGCCATGTCCCCCATGCCTGCGAGGACAAGAGATTACCTGAGTGAGGGAGGTGGTCCCTAGGTGGTGCCCTGGCCCCCAATGACTCTCTCGAGCCCCTGGTCTGACAGCCAGAGACCCACGTGCCCGGGTCTCTCCCAGGCCATCCATCACTGTAGGATGATACAGATTGTAAAATAGTCTGTTGAATACACATTTTCTTTTTTTGTGTGCATTCTTTCAATAGAACAGGATGAAATATATATTCTATTGAACCGCTGAGCTTAAATGTAATTTGAAAACCAACTATGGTTCCAAAAATTCTGAAGCATCCTATAGAAAGAAATAAACTCAGCAGTCTATAAAGGGCTCCTGAGTTCACCGACCCACGGTTCACTGAACCCATGGTTCAGTGTCATCATCCATCTGCTCTACGCTGTATCCAATTCTTCTTCTAAATAACTGAGCAACATTAAGGAAAATAATGTAACCAGCAGAATTTCACAAGGACCAGTGGAGGGCACTGTGCTAAGGCTGGGAGCCACAGGTTGTGTTTGCTGAAAACCAACCTCCTCCCACACAAATCAGGCACATAAATTAGAGTGGGGGCTGGGAGGTGCACGGCCATCCAGGGGGCATCCACCTAGGGTGGGGCAGGTAAACTGTGACCTTGGTTTTGAGGGAGGAAGGGTCTGTCATACACTTAAGAGTGACCTCTGGCAGCTGGCACTTTGAGGGGTTCTGCAGTGGGTAAACCTTAGGCTATGGGGTCGGTCCTCTTGAAGCCTCAGTTTCCTCATCCACGAAATGCATATATGATTGTCTCTAGCTCGTAGAGTTATTAAGGAACATCATGTGCTTAAACTGCTCTGCTCAGCTGCGGCACTCGGCAAAGGTTAGCCATTATTGTTTTTATTACTATTTTTTTTGTTTGTTTGTTTGCGGTACGCGGGCCTCTCACTGCTGTGGCCTCTCCCGCTGCGGAGCACAGGCTCCGGACGCGCAGGCGCAGCGGCCATAGCTCACGGGCCCAGTCGCTCCGCGGCATGTGGGATCCTCCTGGACCGGGACACGAACCCGCGTCCCCTGCATCGGCAGGCGGACTCTCAACCACTGTGCCACCAGGGAAGCCCTTTATTACTATTTTTTTTTTTTTTTGCGGTACGCGGGCCTCTCACTGCTGTGGCCCCTCCCGCCGCGGAGCACAGGCTCCGGACGCGCAGGCTCAGCGGCCATGGCTCACAGGCCCAGCCGCTCCGCGGCACGCGGGATCCTCCCGGACCGGGGCACGAACCCGTGTCCCCTACATTGGCAGGCGGACTCTCAACCACTGCGCCACCAGGGAAGCCCATTTATTACTATTTTTAATAACAGAAGTAATACAACCTCCAGAGAGGATGTGGGTGCGACCCAGGAAGCGTCTCTGCCTTCCTCGAGGGTAGACCTCTGGCTTGTTTCCTTGTTATTCTGATGCCAGGAAGCCTTTTGACCAGCGTGGCACTGAAGCAGCCCAGTGCTCCTTCCCAGCTGGGATTTGGTGCCCCGCTAACTGCCCTGTGACCTCCCCCCGCCCCCCAAGTAGGAAGTCCTGCCTTCGTGCCCCAGCCCCGCCCCATTCGGGGTCCCACCTTGTCTGGCCACAATGAGGCTGGCCATGCAGTCGGGCACGCTGGTTCCGGCTGCCAGGAAGGTGATCCCCATGATGACGTCAGGAATCCCCAGCGTGTACCCGATGATCGTGACCTGGGAGAGGCGGGAAGAGGAGAGCTGAGGGCTGGCAGCAGCCCCACCTGCCCGCAGACCCTCCCAGCAAAAAGCTGAAAAGTCTGCAATCTGGGCGGTCTCTCTGGGGGCCACGTCTGCTCTCTGTATCAATACAGATGGACGAGGGAACATCTCAGGGCGCAGACGGGGCTGCTGGCAGGGGACGGGGGTGCAGTTACGGAGCCCATGCTCTCCAACCAAAGACTGGCCTCTCTTACTTGTTCCTTTGGGTGAGGCAGGTGGCTTGAGGGAGGAGAAACAGGGTTTCTGGGAAAAGGCAATATAGGGACAGTATCTGAACTCAGGATGTTCCTGGGAAACCCAGAACGGATGGCTGCCATGCTGTGCTGGGAACGCAAGCGTCCACGTCCCATGCTGGCTGCATAATGAGACTTTACAGGAGCTGGGAAGGGGCTGCTCACACCATCCAGCCTTGTAGGAAAAGCCATAAGCAGCTGATTCCTTTCCTCTCTTGCTGGAAGCCTGGGGACGTCACCTCTGCCCACGTCACCCTCTGCCCCACAGTGGCTTACGTTTATCTAGTACTCAGGCACTTCTGTTAGTGCTGAGTGATGCTCGTGGGCTTTAACTTATTTCATTCTCACCACAACCCCAGGGAGTAGGTGCTTATCTGCATTCTTCACACGAGGACACGGAGGCATCGCCCAAGGCCCATGCACTGGGGAGTGGCCTGGGGTGGGGGGACATTCCCACCCAGGCATTCAGGCTGCGCCCGCTAGCGCTGGCAGCACTTCTATTTACACAGGAGGGGCTTAGCTGGAGGAAGAACAGCTGACGAGGAGGCAGTGCCTCCATCCCATTAAATGAGCCCATTCTGGCCCCCAGTTTCCAGATGGGCAAACTGGGAGGAAAGCAGTGGGTGAGAAGGCGTGAGGAGGGGCGAGTGGCAAAAGTGAGTAAGTGGAAAGAGACCCATCCCGGGTCCGCTGGCTCCAGGAGAGGAAAACTTGCAGGAGGTGAACCGACGAGGTCATTGTGGGATGCCACGTGCCCTCCCTCACTTTCTGTAAAATTACAAGAAATGCAAATGGGCTGTGGTAAGTAGCCCACTCCTCCCAGCTCCTCTGGGACCCCTGCGCTGGAGCCTGGCCTCACTCCCTCCCCGTCCAAAGGTTTGGGGGATGTTAGTTAAATCCGTAGGGATGCCTTGCACGTCATTTCCATCCGGTGCTGAACTGAATTTGGGGTGGCCTCGGGTTCTCTGCTTTCCCCTCTCCAGGGAGGAAAGTGAGAGCAGAAACACAGCGTTTCTTCTGTCTGTCCTGGAGCCTTTTGTGAAATGGAGCTGCAAGCGTCCTGGCTAACCCTTGTTTTTCCTTTCTCACCCTCAGCGGGATCTCTGCAGGAATTGGTTTGGCTCCATGGGGCTTGGCCTGGGAAGGGGCCGCTGCCCTCGCCCCGTTGTTACTGTGGTTACCATGGTTACGGCTGAGGCTGGCGTTTGGGGGAAGTGATTCTCCGGGTGGCTGGACCAGGTCTCAGGGGCTTCTCCTGGTTTCCCGCTTACTCCTGGCCATTTCTCAGGGCTTCTCAGAACCTCCCCCAGAGTGGAAGGAGGCAAACAGAAGGAGGGTGAACCTCGGATCCGTCGGCTACTTTGCGTGTTAGTGGACTTCAGAGAAAACCACTGGGCTGCCTGGAGTTCAGGGACACCAATGCTACTCTCCAAACCTGGCATCCAATGAATGTGTCAAATAAAAACGTCAATGAACACAAGATGAAGGAGAAACCCCTGGCTATAAGACTTGGGTTGAAAAAAAATTATCTGTTTGTCTGTGATGTTGAAGGCATGGGATAATTACGAGTTAATTGTGTCAGGTTTACACATTTGTTATTACCTCTAAAATAATCTTTTCAGAACCGCTTTTTAGCTCTCGAGTGTAATTCTCCAGAATTTATACTGCATCTCTACGCGATGCTCAAGCATGATTATATGCACATAATTTTGTCATGGCTTTTCATTTCTGCCCAACTCCAATTCTAATGTATTAGGTTCACCCCTCGGTTAGAAACCAGAGTCATAGATGGGAAGTGCACTCTGGGTGGCTGGGTTTCCTGGAATGGCTTTGGGGCAGAGGCTCTTTTGAGCAATGGTCCCTCAATCCATGCCAATCCTTAAATCATTGTTTCAGCTTCAGAAGGGACACTTGAGCATTCACCTGGTCCAATGACTTCATTTTCTGGTTGAAGAAACTGAGCGGAGATGAGGAGTGACTATGATGGATGGGACTGTCAGCCCCCCCATGCCTCCCACCCTTCCTCCACGCTGGCTGCCTGTGACCCTGCTGGACTTTCCACTAGAGCGGGTGGAGTATATTTCCCCCACTCCATGGATGTCGGGCTTGGCTGATGGAGTGTGGGTGGAAGTCTCAAGCCAAGGGCCTGGGAGGCACCTGTGTTTGCTCTTGCCCTCCTGCATTCCAATGATCCACCGTGAGAAGACATTCCCCAGGTAGCCACTGGTCCAAAGAAAATGAGCACACACACGGAGTAGACATGAACCCCACCTGCTGCCTGAATCAAAGGTAACCACACAGGAGCTGGAAGCAGATTGCTTAGCCAGTGCCCTCTAAGATCAGTTACTCTATGGTCTACCTGTCGACATGTGAGCAGGAGCATAAAGTCTTGTGATTCTAAACCACAGAATTTAGGGCTGGTTGTTACGCAGTGTGTTGCAGCGACAGCTGACTGGTACAGTTACTGGGCTGAAACCCCTGCGCCTACTCCCCTCTGGTTGAGAGTATTTCTCTCTGAAGAGATCCGGCACTGCACAGGGTCCTGGACTCACCATCCACACCATCATGTAGGAGAAGGCTGCGATCCACAGCGTGGAGGAAGCGAAGGTCACCATAAACCACTTCTCCCAGCGGGGCTTGTTGCAGTTGGGGACAGTGAAGTACAAGACAAAGCTCAGGGGCCAGGTGAACGCCCATTTCACTGTTTCCAGTTTGCCAGCTGGGAAAACAACAAAGGTGAAAAAAAAAAAAAATCAGCGAGCTACATTTCTCTGCTCCACCGTCTGCACAGCTGTCCCCGGACATTTACATCCTAACGGAAGGCCTGTGAAATAAGCCTGACCATGTTGCTCTTTTCCCGGTAGACTCAAATGGCTTTCCACCAGCAACAAAACCAAGCGGAATAAAAAGTTATCCACTGCCACCTGCTACTCAGGCAACTGGAGCCAGGTGGAAAAGGATGAGGAGGATTCTCAGGATACAAACGGGGTGGGGGGAGAGTGAGGGGTCGGGATGGAGGTGGGGGAGGGGAGGTAGAGACCGCCAGCTGCCTCTGGGTCCTTCTCCCCATGGACAGGCAGCTACATCTTCCCAGATTCTAAGGCGTCAGCGGGCACGGCGCCACCTAGCGGAATTGACCAACATCCTCTGTCAACTTGCTGAAATCTTGAAAGACCATCTGAAAGCTCTCAAGGTTGTCAAAACACCACTAGAGTGTCTGCATCCCAAGCTGCTATGGATTTGCAAATCCATAATTGCTTCCTGGCTCTAACTACTTACTGCCATGGACAAGATGATGGATCTGTCAGTGATGACCTGATCCTACCATCTCTGAGTGCTGCCTGAGTGCTGAGTATCAGAGACACCCATAAATGCTTATTTTGGTGACAACATTACCACAAGTTCTTGTAGCCTCAGATTTGAGAAACACAGTAGTTCTCCTTTGGCCATTATTACCATCCTGCTTAAGTGCTAACTCACCTCTAAAAAGAAATATCAAGATCTCCATCTTCCAGAAAGTTCTCTGTGTGCATCCTTCTGGTCAACATCCCACCCCTCTACCACCATAGATTAGTTTTTCCTGTTCTCCAGCTTCAAATAAATGAAATCATATAGTATTTTTTTGTGTCTACCTTCTTTTATTCAACATAATGTTTTCTGAGTTTCATTCATGTGTAATTCATTCCTAATTGCCCTGCAGTGTCCCATCCTGTGAATACACCAGGATTTGTTTATCCATTCTTCCGTGGGTGGGGTTTGGGTTGTTGCCAGTTTTCAGGTATTACAAGGAAAGAGGCGGGGAGCTTTCTTGTAGGAGTCTTTTTGTGGGCGTGTTTCCATTTCTCTTGGGCAAAGACCCAGGAGTCGAATTGCTGAGTCATAGGGTGGGTGTTTATTTAACTTTGTAAGAAACACTAAACTGTTTTCTAAAATGATTATTCTGTTTTATATTCCCCCCAGAGATAAGGAGGTATTTTTAAAATTACATTTTGAATAGTATGAATAAAATTTATTTTATAATTTTACAATTTATTTTATAATTTTATGCTAGCATCCAGCACTTATTCATACGTCTCTTACCAGTCTCCAAACAGTTTCCTAAAACTATTTAAGAGGAAAACTGCAGAGTAAAGTTACACAACGCCACTTTTGGCCCCTGGTCTCCCTAGACGGCAGGGTGGGCTCTAGGGGGAGATGGGGGCTTTCTCATCAGACAGCGCTGGGTCCAGTCCCCGTTCTGCCGGAGTCGAGTGCCTCAGTTACTTAAATTCCCTAAGCCTCAGTTTCCTCATCTGTAAAATGTGGACACAGAAACACTGAGCTTGAGGGTTGCTGGCAGAATTAAACGAACCATTAGGATAGGGATTGGGGCAACATAAGTTTGCACGTTACCGGACTCAAAACCCTCAGAATCTTTCCTGACTTTCCATTCTTTCATTCCCCACCTCAACTCTGGCCACCTGCCCAGGGAACTCGATCCGTCTGCATCCTCCTATCCCCATGGTCTCTCCCTGGACCAGGTCCTCCATCTATGACCTGGCTGAAGACCTACATTCCTAAGGGGACTCCCAGCACTCTCACCTGCCCCACCTCCATCTGCATGCCACTGACAGCCAGAGTCTCAGAAAGCAAACTGTTCTAGAACCTTCCACTGGCTTCCAGTGCCCTCAGAGTAAAACCACATCTTCCCACAAGGCAAATCATTGACTGGTTTGGCTCCTGTCTGCCACTCCCCCTGCTTACACACTCCGCTGGCTCCAAGCCTCCTTCTGCCTCAGGGACTTTGCATCTGTGGTTCCCTCTGGATAGAGCTTGTGGCTGTGTCTGTCCTGTTGAGCAGGTGACCTCCCAACATAAACGTCACCAGACCCCTCAGATCACCCAGTCTGAGATCCCCTCCCACCCCACTCCTTGCTTTCCCATCACCTGCATTTATCTGCTTCATAGCAAATGTCTTCTATTTGAAATTAACAGGTTTATTTGTTTCCTCACTATTTTCAGTTGCCCCCAAACTAGAATATAAACTCTATAAGAACGAGTGTTTTCTCCAACTTGCTCATCACTCCGTTTTGATGCCACGAACAGTGCAGGGCGCACATCACATGCTCCATACGTATTAGTATCAACAGTAATGACATAGCTATGAACAATCTAATCAGACGGACCAAAGGAGACTATCTGTTTTTGAGAATCTAAGGGCGTCCCACTTACAGGTGCGCAATAAAGCAAAGAGAGCACATTTGTAAGAAAGGGGGGGTCCCTCTCCATGAGCTGCCGTGCATCTGTTCAGATTCAAGGTTTGGAGACGGTGAGTGAACAATGAGCACACTGGCTGTGTCCGGCTGGATCCAGAGCAACCAGGCTGTCTGGGAGTTTTCTGTGAGGGGCTTTCAAATGCTGCACCATCCAGAATACAGCCAGATCCTTGGATCCCAAATGCTTCCTGGAATTCCACACATTCCTAAAGCCTGCACTGTGGTGATAAGGGATGGATCCACCTGGGGCCCTCGGCATCCCCTCACTGACCACCCAGTCCTCCTGATGCCCTCTCAGGGGGAGGGAGAGACAGACAGAGAGAGACAGACAGACAGATAGAGAGAGACAGAGACAGATAGACGGACAGAGAGAGAGAGACAGACAGATAGAGAGAGACAGAGACAGATAGACAGAGAGAGAGAGAGAGAGAGAGAGA